CTCTCACCGTCCCACCAACCACCTTACCGACCTCCCACCGTCCCACCAACCACCTTACCGACCTCCCACCGTCCCACCAACCACCTTACCGACCTCCCACCGTCCCACCAACCACCTTACCGACCTCCCACCAACCCACCGTCCCACCAACCACCTTCACCTGCATGTTAAAAAGCCCCGCGCTGCCTTTTCATTTTTTCACGTTGACGTGTGTACGTCATGCAGCCACCCTCGCTAGGCCGAGCGCTGCGTGACGATTGCCTGGCTTGACTTTGAATCTTGTGCTGTGATTGGCTGGCTTGGCTTTGGTGCTTGTGCTGTGATTGGCTGGCTTGGATTTGGTGCTTGTGCTGTGATTGGCTGGCTTGGCTGTGCAGCTTGGGCCGTGATTGGCTAGCTTGGCTTTGGCGCTAGTGCCGTGATTGGTTGGCTTTGCTTCGGATCTTGTGCTGTGATTGGCTGGCTTGGCGTTGCGAGGCTGCTGCTGAGCAGACCGGCGTGGTGTGCACTCATGTTGCATAGGAAAGCATGCGTGCTCACCATGCTCGCTCGGTGGTGCCACCTGCTGGCAGCTTTGGCGATGAACCCTCGTCAGTATACTCGGCTACTAGCGTGCCAGGGACGTGTCAGTGTTACATGAGGTGCTTCTATAATCCACATTAAATAGTGCACTTCTGCCAAATTGTCTTTGGACATTTGCTGAAACAATACGGCAATTCTGCGAGGCGGCGTTCTGGAACGAACTAGTAAGTATAGCAGAATTTTCAAGGAGTCACACGGACTCCTGCATATGTCAAATCAGGGAGTCCGACAGTAAATCAGGGAGTGTTTGACTCTGGACTCGCGTTAATTTCGCACCCTGGCAGAGGGTGGGATTCTTGCTCTCTCGGCTTTGTCCTCGCTGCAGCGTAGTTACTGTCAGCCACCCGCCCACGACGTGCCACGATCCCTGCAGAGTAGTCTGTGATGTTGGCCGCAAAATAAAATCGTCGTACATCTATACGTGGCATATATATATATATATATATATATACATACATACATACGAGGAGTGCCGGTGCGTGATTGGCTACATGTCGTAAACCGTTTGAAAAACTTTTTTGCGGAATGTCGTTTGGTAAATGGCCGTGCGCTTAACAACCCGCCGTGCGTGTGAGCGTTAGTGAAGCTGGCATTGTTAATCTACGAGGTAGAGTTCGAGTGAAATTAATGTCTCTTTTAATACGATGGCGCATTCGCAAACCGCATGAATCTTCAAAATACTCCTTCTATATTATCTTACTCCTGATAATATCAGGAGTGAATAATAATTGATTATTATTATTATTTATTATTATTATTCACTCCTGATAATATTGGTGTGAATGACATGAACTTTTATACATTGTCATGTAGCTGATGCAGGGTAGCAACGTTGCGTATGATAATGACTATAGTGAGTGTCATATCATGTTACTAATAATATTGCTCATTGGTACTCAGAAGGTGGCAGCATGGTCCAGCATGAGGACTGGTGGTTCGTGGTGAGGCGGGAACCATGACTAGCCTGCGGTGTGTATGTGTAGAACGTGAACAATAAATGGCTAAATGTTTAAATTGGACTTCCGTCTTATATATTATGACAAGATATTGTTACATGGTGGCAGCGGTTATGCGAACTAACCACGCACGTAATGGAACTAGAGACGTTGCGTGCTAATGAGCTTCTGTGGTAAGAGTAACAGTGCAAAGTGTGGAGTGGAGCTCCCGCCGTTAGACTACGGTACAGTGGTTACATAAACATCGTGTCGACGGGTGGCAGGAGATCACCGATCCGGAGACGGTAGAGCAAGGTACTGTCCAGTATCACCATCCACAATCTGGTAAATATGGGGACTTGACAAGCATTAAACCACCTCGTATGGACTGGTCAGCAGCAGATGTGCCTAGTGCCTTCAACGAGTTCAAGCAGTACTGCAGTCTGATATTTGCTGGGCGTTCGCTAGCAAAACAGACGAAGAGAAAGTTACGTACATGCTAATATGGGTCGGACAAGAAGGACTAAAAATGTTCAGCTCTTGGGCTGTGTCTAGAGAGGACCGCAAGAAGCCCGACGCCATCTGGAAATTATTTGAGAAACACCTTGAACCTAAAGTCAACTCCCGGTTAAATAGATTTAATTTACAGAAGTTCAGACAGACACCGACAGAATCCATTCATGAATTCATGACGCGCTGTAAAATTCGGCGACGAAGGAGTGCAACTTCAGAGATGAGCGTGAAGCAAGCGAACGCCTTGTGGAACAACTTATCATTGGCACACACCACAAGAAGGTCCAGGAGATCCTGCTTTCCAAGGATGAGACGGTTGACCTCGATGTAGCGATGGACATTGCCAGGACGCGTGAAGCAACCATGGCGCACATGGCACAATTGACAAGCAGTGATGGGGCTGGAGCTGCCATACACGCGGTCAAGAAAGGCTACAACAACCGGCAAAACAAACAGTACCCGGGAAAAGCCCACGGGAAGTGCAATCACTGTGGAGGCAGCCATGGCACTAAATGTCCAGCATACGGCACAACATGTAACGCCTGTGGAAAGGACAACCACTGGGAGAAGGTCTGACGGGCGAGACCAGATAGTCAGGTCAGCCCAGTGGGGAGAAGACCTAGGTCACATTCACGTGGAGAAAAATCTGCGAACAACAGGCGGTTCCATGCAGTCTCAGAGACGTCGAATGACATGCGCCAACAAGGTAGTCGTGGCAGTAGGCCATCCTTGGAGGAGTTTTGAGTCATTGTCATTTGAGTCGATAAACTCTGACAGTGACCAAAGGGATAGCGATACACGAGATAAAGTATTTGTGTTTATCGATATCGACTTAGAAAACAAACCACGTGCCAAATCCAACCTCAAGGTCAAGGTGGACACCGGTGCGCAGGGTAACATACTACCCTTAAGAATTTACAGAAGGATGTTCCCTGAGAGGTTGGACGATAGTGGGTTCCCACGGAGGGGAGCCACAAAGCCGCGGAGCACTGTGCTGACCGCATATAATGGCACGAGGATCCCACAGCACGGGTCCATTGATATCCATTGTAGGTACTGTGAGTACCACAATGTGGCAGAGTTTTATGTGACTGACTCCGAAGGACCGGCCATCATGGGATTGCCAACGCTGCGTGAGCTACATGTGGTCAAGCTCAACTGTGAGATAACGACCAAAGCAATCGTCAACAAGGACAAGGCACCGTACAGCATACCTACGGCACCTGTCCAACTCACAGATGTAGACTGTAAGGATGTCTTGGTCAAGCTATACCCAGACAGATTCGAGGGCATCGGCAACTTTAAAGCGATGTTCCACATAACAGTAGACCCATCTGTA